CTCCCAAGCCTCCTGCTGGGGCTAGCCCTACACCCATCCTTTTGGTTTCAGATGGGGGTGCTGGGAGCTCTAAGACACCCTCCTCGCCCAAGCCACAGCTGAAGGTGAGACGGTGAACTTCCTCCCATCCAGATCAGGGGGTTTTTCTTTCCCATCCATCACTCAGCTTGCCCCTTAGGTAGATTTGGTGTGTGACCCCTTGAAAGCAAGCCGCAGGCATGTGCTCGTTAAATGGTGGTTCTGCTCGTACTCTGCCTGCCCACGTGCTAAGAGAAGAGGCAGGATGTCGTGTGGTCGGAACAAATAGGAGGGGAACAGTGAAGGAAAATAATTCAGCATGTTTGGTAGAGAGAAGCTGGGGAACTGATGCCAAAGAGGAGCACGGCTAGTTTTTGCCCCGTGGCTAGGCTGCTGGTGGAGATCGCTGCTGTGTTCCTCCTCTAGGAGAGTGTGGGGCAGGATAAACCCTCAGGCTGCCCTGTCTGCTCAGTCCTGGCTGTTGGGATGCTATATCCCTTCCCTTTCCTGCACCCTTATGTATCTTTTTTTTTCCCCCCTCTCCAGTCTTCCTGCAAAGAGAACCCCTTCAACCGGAAGCCATCGCCTGCTGCCTCCCCCTCCGCAAAGAAACCTCCCAAGGGCTCCAAGCCAGTGCGTCCTCCTGCACCAGGTCACGGCTTCCCGCTGATCAAACGCAAGGTGAAAGGGCCGTTGGGAGCAGGGGGGCAAAAGCCAGCTCTGTACTATCCCCCAGGGCCATAGCCGTGCACCCACACCCTGCTGATGCAAGTGTGGGTAGGCATTGCGCAGGTGGCTGTGGGTGGGGAGGATGGTGTCTAGGCTAGACCCCGTTGATGGTGGCACCATGGTCTCTCTTTGCTCCAGAGTTGGGTGGGGATTTTGGATCCACATTCAGGTGGAGTGTTCTGTTGTCCCCCCTGCTAGTGTTTACCAGCGTTTGAGTTCCCCCTGGAAACTGGAGGTTGATGGTAATGGAAATCTCTGCCTTGTGGTTTGGCAGGTGCAGACAGATCAGTACATCCCTGAGGAAGACATCTATGGAGAGATGGATGCCATCGAGCACCAGCTGGACCAGCTGGAGCACCGTGGGGTGGCCTTGGAGGAAAAACTTCGTAGTGCTGAGAATGGTATGTGGGGTGGGCTGTTTGTGATTGTGGGGCCGGACGGCCCCTAGGGCTGTCCAGCCAAGGATATAGCAGCGGTGACTTCCTCCCTGCTGATGCTGGGGTTGGTCACAAGAATGGTCACAGCCATACCCTGGATGTGGAGATGTCCCTAGAGTGGAAATAGGTGGGAGAAGAGATAAGATCTCTCTGGGGCTCAGGAAGAGGCTGAGGTCAGGTTGGATCTTAGCCCAGTGCCCCTCTCCTGGCTTGGCAGAGCCCAGCCTGCTGCAGGGTGATGGGATCCAGCAGAGCTGGGGGTGGCTTTGAATTGTCCCTTTGCTTGGCAGACAGCCCTGAGGACAGCCTCCTGGTGGACTGGTTCAAACTCATCCACGAGAAGCACATGCTGGTGCGCCACGAATCGGAGCTCATCTACATGTAAGTGTGTGCGAGTGCTGACACACTTGTGGGGGGAGCCTTGTCTCAGCCCTACTGAAACTGTGCTTCCAGGGGAGAGCCTGACACGGCCTCCTTGCCTGGAGAAGGGAGGGAAGGAGAGGGCAAGCAGACAAATGTGTCCAAACACACTCAGAACTGACCCACTGCGAGTCACCAGAGCCCCTGCAGCATCTGCTTCAGGAAGGCCTTGAGCAGCCGGGGCTGGTCCTTGCTGGCACTTGACTCCCTGCCCCTTGGGCTGTACAGGATAAGATCAGCATCTCGGTGGTTCTTTCCAAGCTCACCCCGTACCTTAGGATGACGCTCTGCCTCTCTGGAGCCTTGCAGTGGTTCCCGACAGTGGCCCCTTCCCTTGTAGCTTCAAGCAGCAGAACCTGGAGCAGCGGCAGTCGGATGTGGAGTATGAACTGCGTTGCCTCCTCAACAAGCCAGGTAAAGCATCGCTCTGGGTGCAGTTACCTCCATTTTTCCTCTGGGTTTCATCTCCCCTCTGTCTTGGTGGGTCTCAGGCAAAGAGGGACACATCTCTAGGGATGCCAGCACAATCGGCCGGCTTTAGAACTGCTGCCCCGTATCATTGCACGCCCCAGCGTTATTGCAGGGACGTGCTCCTTTTGTCCCCTTGGGATGCCACCTACAGGGCTCACCCTCCACAGCACCGCTAGCCCAACTGGCCCTGCAGCACGGCAGGGTAGCAGGGGATCGTGTTAGGGGATCTCTGCCCTAAAGCTCTGAATTTCAGAGCTCCTTCAGCCATTTAATTACTTGTCCTTCCTCGGGATTTGGCTGGGTAGAGAAGGACTGGACCGACGAGGACCGAGCAAGGGAGAAGGTGCTGATGCAGGAGCTGGTGACCATCATTGAACAGAGGAACGCCATTGTGAACTGCTTGGACGAGGACCGGCAGAGGTGAGGAGGGTGGGCTCGGGGAGAGGGGAAAAGCACCACATGGGCATCTGGTGAGGGTGTCCCAAGATGTCCCTGTTGCTGACGTCTTTCCCAGGCTTACCAATTCTTGTCTCTTTGAATGCCTTGTGTGGGAAAGACAGGGCAGTACATGCAGCACGTGGGATTTATCCTGCTGGTAGCAAATGCTCACAAGACAGTGATGGATCTGCCCCTCCATGGCTTATAAGTAGGAGGTTCTCTAGCCTTAAACAATACAGCAGCTGTTTTCAGGGCTGAATTGCTGACCTATTTCCTGCTCTTTCTTTCAGAGAAGAGGAGGAGGATAAAATGTTGGAAGCCATGATTAAAAGGAAAGGTAGGAAACAGTCGGGAAGATTTTTGGAGTGATGGTTTCACTGCTGACCCTGGCGAGAGGCAGCATAAACCATTCATGAAATTGTGTGCAGAAGGAGAGATTGAATCTGTTCTGTGTGGGCTCCAGAGCCTTTCCTGTGGGGACGTTAAAGTTTGGGGCACAGTTGTGCTGCGCAGGCTTGTTATCACAGAAAGAAGCCTGCGTACAGTGGAGGGCTTTGATTCATGGCCTCTCACCCTTGCCCCTGTTACTATGCGTGCGTGTGTGTGTGTGTACAGTCATCAGCATCCCGCAGTAACAACCTCCCTTTGCAACCCCAGAATTCCACAAGGAGACGGAGACCGAGAGCAAGAAGAAAGGCAAATTCAAGCCCATGAAGGTGCTTAAGCTGCTGGGCAACAAGCACGACTCCAAGAGCAAGTCGCCCAAGGAGAAAAGCTAGAGCAGGGGAACACCAGGAGTGGGAGGGACGTGCTGCCCGACTGCCCTGGCCTCTCCGCAGCTGGCTGGGATGCCTGCCAGGGAAGGGAGCTTGTCTCCCTCCACTCACCTCGCCTCTCCCCCTGCTCCCTCCCCAGGCACCGGAGCTGCTGCCCCAGGGAGATGCCAGCCCTCTGCTTGGAGCAGGGGAGTCTGACCAAAGCACTCCCCTTCCCAAGGCTGCGGAGGAGCCTGACTGTCCCCTCTGTGAAGCCTTGCTAACACGGTGGGGACAAGATGGATTCGCTTTTCGGATGCATTACCCCATTGCGTGTTCTTGTTATTAACTGAGAAGCAAGCCAAGGAGTTTGGTGTTTGTGGGAAAACTTGCACTAACTGCCCCCAGTCCCTTCTCCCGCTCTAACTGTGACAGTTCCACGTGCCTCCAGCCTCTGCCAGGAGGGGACTGGGCCTGCCTGTCCCTCCCTGCCTGCCCGCTCTTGTCCCCTTCCTGTCCCATTTTTAACTTCAGGAGAAAACGCTGGCATTAGACTCAAAACTCTTTGGGTTTTACTGGCCTAAACTAAAATGTTAAGAAAACAGTCCTGCATCACAGGGCTCTGCAGCCATAGCCAAAAAAATAACTGGGGCCCTATTTATTTTGAGCTGTCCCCTCCCTCGAGCGCCAGGGCTGGGTGGGTCCGTTACAGGGCCGAGAGCACCCAAGGGGACGGTGTACAGCTGCTAGGACATAGCTCATGTGCTCTGCTCAGGACATCTTGCCCCCCACTGCTGCTAAACACCGCTGACTTTGCTGCCTTCAGAGGAGGGAGGAACATTCCTTTTCCAGGCAAGGGCAGAAAAGCTCAAGACTGACCCAGTGCCGGCAAGGGGCACTAAGCTTGTGCCCCTGCTCACCAGTGCCACCCTCGAGCTGCTGGGGAGAAGAGGTGCTGTCACAACTGACCTTTACCCAGCTTCATCTGTGTATACTTTAAAAGTGTGCAGGGGGTGGCTGGTTATTTTTTACACCTCCTTTACTAGATGAATTCAAACCCACCCTAAAACTTTTTAAACCCCTTATTTTATTTGTCATGTGTGTGTGCGTGTGTGTACATTGGAGGAGGGAATGGGGGGGGGGGCGTTCTTCCAACCATCCCTTCTTCCTTCCATTTTTGTTTCCTGCCTTCTCCTCCAAGGCGAGGAGTTATTTATTGAATTGTTGGATTGGTCTGAATTAAGAGTTTCATGGGTGTTTGGTTGGTCAGCTGTTCGTCATGCCTTCTCGTTAGTAAATTAGACATAACCAGCCCCGAGCAAACTGCTGCAGTCCCTTGCAAAAACGCCACAGGCTTTAGCCAAAACACTCTTGGAGCAGTGCCTTGCAAGGTGGCTGGCGTAGCATTCTGGAAAGGGATCCTGGTTTCCCAAAACCTGAGGGACCTGAGCCCCTCCTCAATCCCAGCGTGGCCCCCCATGGCTGGGAGGTGGCAAGCTCAGCCCCGCGCTGGTGATGCCATCTCACTCTTGCCATACCCCAGCAGGCCGCTGAGGGGCAGCGCTAGGGGAGGGGAGATCCCAAAGCACAACTTTTCTCCAAGGAGAAACAAATCCGCTTTAGAGCCTGCTGTCATGTCACTGTTGCCAAAGGCCATCGGGATCGCTGCAGCCTGACACCCCTTGGCCCCATGCCCGGTCAGAACTCTTGATTTGTAAATTATACTGTACTAACTCCGTGACTTCCATTCACCTGAACCAAAATAAAAGAAACATTGGATTTAAAAATCAGTTACAGCTTAGGTTTCGGATTCCTTTGTGCACTCGCTCTGTCCCAGGGACAGGGCACGCTGCCTGGCTTTGGGGGGTGGCTAAGGGTATTGCTAAGAAGCAGACGATGGGACCTTACGGAAACTGGGAGGCAGACTTTATGCTGGGATTTATGCAAGAATAGCAGGACATCATGCTTCAGCCTGCTGGAGGAGGGAGGTGGGGGTTATGCATGAGGTGAGCAAACAGACATTTCCAGGCTCTGTGGGAAGCCGGTGGCTATTCTGCGTACCGTGCTTTCAGGAACCCCAAAACCACAGCAAGCCCGCAGCAAAGAGCCCCCCTCCCTCCTCAGCGCAGCTGTGTTCCCGAGCGCCTGCCCACTTCAGCTGCCCCCGAGGAGTTTGCTGATGCACGCAATCGCGCCGACCTGCAGCAACGCCGGAGGCTCGCGTTTGCCGAAGGCCACGCGGCAGCACCTTCCTCCCCGCTGTCTTCCCAGAGTCACGGGGGCGGGAGCGGGTCGTAGCTGGAGGTGGCAACACACACGTCAGCATCGTGCTGCCGTAAGAAACCACCATCTGGGTGGATGGAAAGGGGTGACATTTTTGTCAGTGGATTGCTGTACTCTGAGCCATTGCATAGGCAGAAGGAGGCTCTGCTTTGTCGTTCTGGTAGCTGCTGCTGCTGCGTTTTCATCTCTTTAATATTGAGCAAGAAGGCATCCAGTGCGTGGGTAGGATTTTACAACAGCTTTCTTCTGTCACCAGTTATGTACAAGTTGCTCCTGCCTTCTGGCTTTAGGCAAGCAGTGGTGCTGCCCCCTTTTCGAGCCCTTCAGACTCCGAGGCCGAGAGTCTGGGAAGAAGAGGTAGGAACAAATTGCACTTGTGTTTTTCCCTTGGCCTAGTCATGGGGATTGCATTTGTTCCCACCAGGGAAGTCTTTCATCATGATCTCTCTCATTTCCTCACTTCTCTTCTTGTCCATGATCTCCATCTCACGCATTTTCTGCAAAGCACAAAGGGGAAGGGCTGAGCAGGGAGGAAGCCAGCAGCTTTTGTTTTCTTCTTTTGCCAACACCAAGAACAAAAGTTCTATTTCCCTGATTAAGTTCCATGCAGAGATGGAAAGAAAGGCTGAAAACCTCTGTCCCCCCCATTCCCCAAATTCACGCCTGTCCTGTGCCATGAATGGAAACACTCAGTTCTCTGCCCCCTCCCTCGCTCAGGTATTGGAGGAGACTCTGCTTTAAGGTCTCTGATACTCGGGATTCCCTCCATGTTCTGTGTGACCAATGCTGCCAGGACACTTGCGTACCTGTGAGATTTCAGTCAGGACAATCCTTTGGTACTTCTTGCCCTGTCCTAGAGCTTCCATCTCTGCCAGGAATTCCCTCCTCTCCTGAACTTCATTCACCACTAATAGATAAAAGAAAACACTGTGGAAACAGGATTCAGCTGAAAAGCAAGAAAACATGTTTCTGTCTAGATTAGAAGCCCCAGTTTCCCAGCTCTGCTTCAACAGTGGTCCTGCCAGGGGAAGGGTGATGTCTGCTCTAACACTCATCTTGTGCATGTCACCAAAATCAATGTGAAATGTGCCCCTTGCTCATCTTCTTACTGCTCCCCATCTGGCAGGAACAGGAACTTTGTAGTTTTCTTGGTACAGACCGCTCTCTGCTTGTGGGCAGTTTAACCAGTCTGTGGATGGAGACAGAACCTGCTTAAAGCCATTGAGGTTAAGTAGTTGACTTGCATCACCCAGTGACCACAACCATCTCTGCTCCCGGGACCCGCACAGGCGCAGAATGTTACCTGCCGCTTTGCAGCACAGACCTGCAGCCAGCTGGTCCAAATCTCACCACAGCGCAAAGGACATGGACATTTCAGACGTGTCAAGGACAACACTCAGCTTCTGACAAGCTTTAGAGGCTACAAAGCATCTGTGAAGCCAGCCACACTGGCTTCCCTGAAGCAGGGACCAAAGCAGCCCTCCTGTACACACAAGTCTAGCGTTGGCCATCTTTGTGCTGCCCTGGCTAGCAAAGGGCGGGCTGGGGTGCGCACACACACATTGAAGATTCAAGCACGGAGAAGTATTAGGCAAGGTTTTGCCATCCCAAAATACTTTGCAGGCCAAAGTCCATCACTGCTTAAAATTCTTCCCGACATTCAAGCTTTGCTTGCGTAACTGCTCTGATTTTGGAGCAAAAGAGAACAGAGCCGAAACCACGGTCGGGCTGGCAAGCGCCCGAGCCTATGTTGAGTTACACTGGCTGAAAAGAGGGCCGGCAGTACCTGAGCTTCCTACCAGGTCACCCTGCGTGTCCCGAGGGTGCTCCCCTGCCAGCAGAGCTCCTTTTGTGCAGGCAGCCCAAAGGAGCCTGAATCTGCCAGCAAACCCCTGCAGTACAAGCACTGCGAGGACGGCAGAATCACAGCGTCACAGCAGAAAGCCTTTTCTCTTGGAAACTGGGCTTTGTGCCTCCTTCCGCAATGGGCTTCAGGTTACTGGCAACACGGCCTGCTACCCCAGCCCTCGGAGGGAGCCGGCTCCCCAGGCTTTCTGCCTGCCTTCCTCCAGGGTACGTAAAGACGTACATTCTTCAAAGCGGTCAGGCTCAGGTGTCTCCTCTTCCTTTGTTTGAACCAGCATCTGCTTCACCTTCTGCTCCACCACATCCTTCCCTGTTGCCAAGATGTTTTGGAGCCTTTGCTTCTCCTTTTCCAAATCTCCTGTGAATGCCAAGGGGAAAAATATTATTACCAGCCTGTCTCCTCAGGTAGGAGCCTGGCCACACTGCTTTCCTGCTCACGATGCCAGAGGAAGCGTTATGTTAACGACAGCCCGTCCCCAGACCAAACTGCACAAGCACCGCGCAGGCGTACAGAGACAACCGACCTGACATCAGAGGTCCGATTCACATCTACAAGCTAAAAAATGACATAGCACTCCCTTCTTACGCAAGGACTGTGCGAGTCCCCATCACCTGTCACCCCCCTAGCCAGCTAGCAGTGAGCACTGACAGTAGATGTTCCCTCAGAGATCCATTTTTAAAGCATCATTGAAGACAGCAAGCGGGAGGACGAAGAGCAATTAGGCTGCTGCTGAGAACGCAGGAAGGGGAAGAGAGGGACCGGGCGGCATAATTTATTTATTCATGAGCGATGCTTGCCGACTTACGCCTTGCCCGTGGCTTGAATTTCTCTCGGGTGTAGGCATCTCCTGCCTGGCAGACCTTGGCGGGTCGGAGGTGCGGTTTAGCTGACAAACGTGGCTGACAAACTGGTGGGGAGAAAGCAGGCGCTGCAGGCGCTGGCTCTTTGCTGGATGTGGGGTGGCACTGGAGGGGCAGGGCATCTCCTCCTGGAGAACAAACCGAAAATCGGGGTCAGGCAGGCAGAGAGGAGCCGGGGTGGATGGCCCTGGGCTACCGCCAGCAGAAGACCTGCCTGTTGATCTGCTGTAGCACCACCAGTGAAGACCCCGGGTGCCACCAATGTCTCACCCCGGGTGTCGGTATGCGCTGACGTGAGATGGACTGTGGTTCAAGTCACGCCGTTGCGTCGTGTGTTCCCCGGATGACCCTTGGGGACAGACACCTCGCCCCGTACGTCCCCGTGTGCTGTTTCAAGGCACTTGCCCGTCCAAGCGGGCGGTGGGCAAGTGCCCCTGCCTCAAGGAGAGCAGCGAAAGCTCTTCGCCAGGGCGCAGCAGCGGGTGGGAGAGGAGAGGGCCGGCACTCACGTTTCACGCAGTCCATCAGGTATCGCCTCTGGAAACGCGTCAGCTTCGACTCCTCCATCATCCCTGAAAAACATGACGTAGGGGTGAAGTCGGCAGCCCCGGGGGGCTCCGCGCCTCCCCTCCGGCAGCTGGGACGGGCTGGGGAACCCGCCCC